TACAAAGATGAGGAAAATCCTGATACCTAAACTATGGATAGCATGAGAAAAGAATCCAGCTGCCAAATCCTAAGTGAGCTATTAGACAATAGAATTCAGCAGCATATTAAAAGGTTAATAATAGTAGTAATAATAAAAATGGTAATAGTGCTCTAGTAGGGTTTTAAACTGCTAGTACTTTTTATTCATTGTGTCATTCAGTAATAAGAGGCTAAAAGAAAAATGCTACATAACCATCTTACTAGATGCTGGAAAAATGTGTGTGATAAAATTCAACATCTTGGAATTAAAAGCCTCTGAGAAGGAGACACCCACCTCCCCTCCTACAGCAGTGGTCCTCAGCCTCTTTTGGCAGCAGGGACTGGTTTTTGTGGCAACAATTTTTCCACAGACTCGGGGAGGATGGTTTCAGGATGATTCAAGCACATTACATTTACGACTCACTTTATTTCTATTATTATTACATTGTAGTATATAATGAAATGGTTCTGTAATGCACCGTAATGTACGATCAGCGGGAGCCCTGAGCTTGTCTTTCTATCTGTCCTGAGCTCGGGATGGGACAGTCCTATCCAAGGCTGATGGGAGACAGGGACACCTCCAGGGTGCTGCTTACGGCCAGTCTACCCTACAGTCCCGGTTTGGTTGGTGTCACTGAAAACCCTGCTTCACAAAGATGGGTGCTGGAATGGAGACAGGCTGTTCGGTGCCTCTGTGGCAATCTCAGAACATTGCACTTTGACTTTAACCCAGAACCTACGGAGATTTCAAGCTGCTCAACCAAACGTTTAAGGTCACAGTCGTTTGTGACCTCAAGCAGTTGATCACCTGTTTTATTCACAAATGAGTCACAGATCCACTCCTTCCCAGTTCAGGGGTCTCCTGTGGCTGGGAAGTAATGCTCTAACTCCTTTAAAAGCTGAGATGAGTGAACGTGCACCAGCTGGGAGAAAGAAGGTCCTGACTCAGACTCTTTCAAAATCTCTGCTGATATTTGAAATGTATCAAAAAAAAAAAAAAAAAAAAAAAAATCCCAGTGTTCACTCATTAGGCCCATAATTCCAGGTTGGCTTCAAATGCAGCCACTTCCCCTGCCAACCTGAACACAGTTGTCATTCTCATCTGCAGTGACAAAATGAGTTCACTGAGCAGGCAGAATCCGTCACACGAGTAAGCAAGTTCTGTGTCACCGAAATGTGCTGCCGGGGGTGGAACGTGCTGTTTTTCTACAAGAAACCCCGGGGGTGGCTCTTGTAACTCAAAAGACTCCACCCAGTGACCTACCGTTAGAAAGCCGTGTTACTTCTCTGTGTAAGATGTGTGCACTGCAAGTCCGGTGCCTCATAGAGCTGTGTGAACAGACGTGAGCTAAGGGTGTGTACTTCAGTGTGGCTGATAATCACATCATGGAGAGCGGTAACTTTGAGGATGTTTTGCTATGGGTGAGACAGGGTACAGATTCACATTCGGAAGTGACCTCTGTCACCTGGGTAGTGAAACCAGAAAGCTGTCTGGTCATGGCAGTCACTCTGTCCGTCATATACAGATGCAAACTGACCAATTCAGTTTTCCTGATATGTAATCATTCAAAGACTTGAATAGTTCTGCAGCTGTGGTGTTCACTGGCAACAAAGTACACATAACACATCCTCCTGAAAAATGCATCACACAAAAACAAACATTGCTGCCTGTTGTCCACACGGCCAGACTCCTCAACTTGGACCCTATAAACAGTGACTCACTCATCCTCCCTAACCACCGTGCCTCAGTAGCCTCTGCTGTTCCACCAGTTCATCTAGCGATGGTGCTGACTAAAAGAGGGTCACACGCCACCTTTTGAACTGTGAGCTTCCCTAAAAGTTCACGACAGATGTCCTCAGCAGCAGGCAACTCTTCGCCAACAGTAAAGGGCTTCTTGGCTTTAGCAATGGGCTGTCCACTAAGAGTGATGCTGTCAGCGTGGACGCATTTGATGACATGGTGGCCTTCGGGATTGCTTCTGTACTTTGTGTGCATGTTTCTTTTTTTTTTTTTTTTCCTTTTGAAAAACCCCAGACACGTCCTTTAACGCAGAGTGCTTGGTCTCCATGGAGTGAGCAGTTTTTAAGGTTTCATGGCTTCACTGGACAACCAGCCACCAGCCTCATATTATACAAAGTGAGGCTGGAGGATGTGAATCACCTGGTGCAACACCTGTAATTTAAGTAGGACTCTTGGTATTTTCTTTTAAGTATAGCTTTCTTTGTTGCTGGTAGTCTTGTCTTATCACTGGGTCTTTGCCCCTTTGCAAAGCAGCTCTCCAGTGATTTTTTTAAACTCATTTTGGTTTGGGTTAGCTGGGGGTTCACCAAAACTGTGACTGAGACCAAGGGATACTGTGGAAAAGAGGCACGGGCGGCCACGTGCAGACTAACGTGTCTGATTCTGACTTAAAGCCTTCTAGCAGGTGCAAATGTATACTTTAAGTGCATAACTCATCCATCCTGCCACCAGATGCGGTTTAATTGTCACACCACTCCCTGATGAGGTTCTGATAGGAGTCTGTAAGAGGCTGATTTATCGCGGTCTCTATGTAGTCAACACTCCTTGCTAATGTTATTCTGTATCTGCAGCCGCTCCCCAGTGCTAGCAGCACCACCTCTGCTCCACCTCAGATCATTGGCATTAGATTCTCATAAGGAGCTTAGAGCCTAGATCCCCCATGTCCGCAGTTCACAGCAGGGTTCCTGTGCCTATGGGAATCTAATGTCACCACTGATCTCACAGGAGGTGGAACTCAGGTGGTAACAGGGTGATGGGGGCAGCTGGAAAAACCGATGACGCGTCACTCACTGGATGGCTGCTCCCCTCCTGCTGTGTGGCCTGGTTGCTAACAGGCCATGGACTGGTACCTCTGGGGTGGGGTGGGGGACTTCAGTGACTCTCAGGAGGAGCAGAAGGGCAGAATCCTAGGAGCATGGTTGTCTGGGGACCTTAGGCCTGCCCTCCCGCTAAGCTTCTCACAGGCCTCTGGGACAAGGCAGCTCGGTGGCCTGCTCCTCCCCAGGCAGAGTGCAGAGCCAGCCAGAGTCATCTGTGCTCGGAGTCCGGACAAGACTGGCCTGCTGCAGGGAGGGGAAGGGACCTGAGACGGGTGTGGACCAGGTCTCACCCATCTCTGAGCCCACACAATCCTTTGGCTTTTGTTTCTCCTTTTCCTTTTAATACAACAAGTTTGTTTTGAGGCAAGCCTGAAGACCAAAGGCCTTTTCCATTGGACATGTACATATGTGACCGAGCATCTGTCTCCATGTGCGTGCATGTGTGTGTGCGCGTATGCGTGTGTGCATGTGTGTGTGTGTGCATGTACACATACATGTGCCAGACCTGATCACCTGGCGGCTCCCACCTCTTGTCTCAGCTGCTGGGTGACTGCCTCCCAATCCCCTAATCATTCCCTCCCCACTTGTGCCCTGCTCCCCTCCATCCAGACCACGCTGCCCAAAGTCATCAGTGGCCCGGGTCCATTCCCCACCTCAGTGCAGGCAGCCCCGCCAATGTCCCTGCCTTGGGCCGGCACACCCTGCCACCTGCCCATTTCACTGCAGACCTGCCTTCCCCTCTAACCAGATGGATGCAGGTCCCGGAGGTGGGGCAGGGAGCAAGAGACGAGCACAAAGAGGCTGAAACTGAAGGCTCGGGAGCAAGGACAGATTCCCATCAGGGAGACAGCAAGAGACGAGACAGAGACAGAAGCAGCGATGGAAAGCCAAGCGGAGCCAGAGAGCGACACAGGCACAGAGATGCAGACAGGCAGCCGGCTGCCTGCACAGACCCTGCTCGCTCAGCTTCCACCGCTGCTGTAGCAGCATCTGGAAGCCTGCACCGGCCAGGGGAGGGGCAGCCAGGCTCTCTGAGACTCCCCCGGGGCTTTTGCCGTGCCAGTGCCCTAATTTACTTCCACGGGCCTGAAATTTAGGAATTTCTCAGGGCTGCCAGGGAGGCGGCCGGGTGCAGAAAGCGGCAGGGTCTGGCCCAGGCTGTGGTCCAACCCTCAGAGGCCCCCACAGCACTCAGCCATCCCTGCCGAAGCAAAGGGGCACCCCCACACGGGACCACGCTGTGCACTCCCAGGGACCTGGTGCAAAATCAAACCCAGCTCTTCCCCTTGGTTGCTAGGCAATGCACAGCCTGGGATGCCCGGAACAGCAATGCTTTCATCTGCAAGATGTGCCTGATCACTGCAGCTTTCCAGCCATCTGAAGGCCTTGAAGATGGTGCAGAGACCCTGCCGCCAGCCAGGCAAACCGTGAACTTCCCATAGTGTTCAGTGAGAAAAAGCAGTGAGAGGCTTTAGCTCCTCTCATCCTCTCACAGCTCCTGGCCACCCCTTTGCAAAGGCTGTTCCCTCTGCCAGGCACACCTTTCTTTCCGTAGACTCCTGTTCATCCCTAGAGCCAGCTCAACATCCCCTTCCTCTGGGAAACCTATCCGCAGAGTTCACTGTTACTTCTCCGTGCCCTTCTCACCCTGCATCTTCAGGATTCACAGGCAAGAAGGATGAAGAAAGAGGCTTGGACCAAATCCTCAGAGAGCAAGAGATGCTGCCCAAATCACTTGGGGACCCTGAGCCCCACCCCTTCTCTCTGGCTCCTATTTTAACAGGCGCTACCGAAAACCATGCATAACATGTTCCCTTTGAACATGCCTCCATGCAGGATAGGGCTAGGAAAAGAAACACGCTGGCTCTTTATAAAGGGCAGGACAGGGGCTGGGGATTTAGCTCAGCGGCAAAAGCGCCTGCCTGGCAAGCGCAAAGTCATGAGTTCGGTTCCCGGTACCGGAGAAAAACCAAAAACCAAAAACCAAAAAAAAAAAGGGCAGGACAGAGATACTCGAGGACCTCTACACCCCTTCCCTCCTAGAAGCCCCCAAATTTCCTCTGGGGAGGCCCCCTCTCCCACTCGCAGCCTACACGGACTGCTGGATGGCCAATGAGCAGTCTCTCTCTCGATCCACAGTGACCAGGCGGGGACAGACAGTTACATGACCCAGGCACACAAGCCCATGCCGACGCTGCTGGAGAAGGGGGGACGCCCTGCTGCTCAAGAATATGAGCCCAGAACTGCTGGGGCCACCTGACAACTGAGTGGAGGAACCTGTTGCAAATACATGCAGAGAAGCAGAGTGAGATATGGGGACACGACACTGACGGCACCTTCCGGCTCTGGATACAGCTTGGCCTGAAGCTAACACATTTTTTAGTTCCATAATTTCTTCTTCCTTTTTTTTTTGCTTAAATTGTACATTCTGTCCCCTCCAATCCAAATAATCCTGACTCTTGTGACAATAAAGATAGAATAACAAACTTCTCACACCATTGCTGACTCGATCCTGTGGTGTATGAACTTCAGGAGTTACTAAACTTGGCCCCTGCATTCTCTGGAATGGCTCAGCATGCAGCCCGAGGGCCACGTCACTATCGTGATGGCGTGACCCTCTCCAACTACCACTGACTGGCCAGAGTGGACATCTCTCCCAAGCTAGGCCAATCAGAGCTCTCCCCTCAGATGTTGGACTGGAGCTACAAGAAAGCACAGACCATCTGTGGAGACAGGAATGGTGGGCCCCGGAGTTCCAGGCTGAGGATGGCTCCCTCTTAGTGACAGGCAGATCACCCCAAAGGCAGCAGTGCGAACTGAGCCGGGCCACAGTGCCACAGGCAGAGGCCCCACTAGCCCTGCGGGATCTGGAGGTCTGGAGCTGAGGAAGGGTCACCCAGCCATCCCAAGGGGTTGTCACTGGGTAGACACATTTTACCTGGCAGTCTAGGAGGGCCTACTGGGGGAAAGCACTTCATTAAACCAATCTGCTATGGACTCAGTGTTTGTGTCCCCTCAAATTCACCTGCTGAAGCCCTATCCCCAGGGGACGATGTTGGGAGGCAGGCCTTTTGGGACATGGTCACCAGGCTCCCATCCAGCCACTCGAGCAGGTCCCCATGACGGGAACAGCATCCCTCCAAAAGGAGGAAGAGGGCCAGAGGTCACCTGTCCACCACTTGTCTCCCTGGCAGGAAGGCACACTCCTGGAGCTGAATCTGCCTCGCTGGCCTGGGCCTCCCAGCCTCAGAACCACAAGAAATAAACATCTGCTGTCCTAGGCACCAAAGGTGCCATATTTTGTTAGACCCACCCAAGCTGACTAAGGCACGGTCTCTTTTTCTTGTGGCAGTGTCAGGTCAGGCGCTCAGTCCCAACGAACCTGCAGGAAGGGCCTCACTATGGGTGCTACTGAAATAACCCCCTAGAAGCGACCCCCTACCAAGGTGGCACCACACTTTACAACTCGCAAGGCCCTCTCCTTGTCAGGCCTGTGACCTCCCTCGGCCCCAAGCCCTGGCCTGTCCCTGGGTGAGATCCCAGGCCCTGCCACCTCGACCCCCAGGGCTCTGCCAGGTGGCTCAAAAGGACAGGGCTGGGGGTGTAGAAGCCAACTCCAGGGCCTGCATGAGCACAGGGACTACACTGTGGTCCTCGGGACAGGGACCTGTTTTTGGAGACCCTGCCTGCCAGAGCCTAACTCAGGGCACAACACACTGGGGATCTCTGGGAGACACAAGGGGCTGACCACCAGCCGCCAGGCCTTCTCAGCCTTCTAGACACTGCCGTGCCCAGTCATGCCCAGCTTCAGGGACATGCTTAGAGGACCTCATCCCTTGGTGAGGAATAACCTCCTCCCATCCTCTTAAGGCAGCAGGGCACTGGAGAATGACTCTGTGTGGCCCCAGTGTGCCTCCAACACCCCTGGGACGCCTGCCACCTCTTTACAACAAATGGTGGACAAGTTTGGGGCAGGAGGCAGAAGGTGGCAGGATGTCAAGAGTGGCTTTGTTGGTGCTGTGCTTATCTATGCAGGGATTGTGGATTTCAGGTGAGTGGTCCTGAAATAGATAGGGCTTCCTTTCAAAATAAGTGGGAGAGAAACAGGGGTGGGAGCTTTCTAAGTAATACCAGATATCGCGGAAGGCAGAGGAGGCAGGAGGCCAGTGGCCGGGTGACCGGTTACCTTCGTGCTATCAAAAAGGATGTAACACCGCCTCTGCCAGCCCTGTAATCAGATAGCAGCCGCGGAGGGAGAGGGGGGTCAGATAGGGTAGTGAAATAAATTTTCTTCCAGAGATAAGCAGAGGAGCAGATAGGGGACACAGAGCCTGTCTACTTCCCTGTGAAGGGAGACGTCTAAGTAAGGACATCGAAAAGACGGGGTTCTTCAGTGTGTGCCCGTGGGCATGAGTGGGGGGGGACCAAGGCAGACGTGGCGGTTTAAGCCTTTGAGGGATAAAGATATATCAAGACCCCCACATGGAACCAAGCACAGGGGAGAAGAACCAAGCCCCGGTGTGGCCCAACACAGGCGGTGGCGTCTCTGTGATCAGCTCGGTGAAAGGTGACGCAGTCTAGCTCACACACACTCGGCTCAGTCTCCCTGCCAGGGTGTGAGTGCAGCTTCCTGTTTGTTCCCCATCCCCACCAACCCTCCAGGAAGGGCACTACACCCAGGCCCGTTCTGCAGATCGGGGAGCCGGGCCAGGAAGGGAAATCCTCATGATCCGGGTTCTGGGCTGAAGCCCAGGCAGGTGCCAGCATCCTTCCCAGATACCCCAACCTCAGAGGCCATGGGTCAGGCTACGCCTGGGCAGTGAATGCCAGCAGAGGCAGCAGGCTGTCCTCAGTTCAGAGAGGAACACACGGAGGCCAGGGTGAGGTGGCTCAGGCCCAGCACTTGGTACCCAGCCAGGGGCTCCCACCGTCCCCCTGGACCCAACCCAGGGCTGGGGTGGCACCACTTCCTCACCAGCTCTGAGACCTGGGTGGGGACACTTGGGCCAAGGACAATACAGCCCCTCTCAGCAGGGCCAGGCTCCCCACCCTGGAGAAAGGAAATAACCTTTCCCCAGACCAGCGCTGGCTTTGTGACAACTGCCATGCAGGGGCAGACAGGCATGCTTGTAACGTTCCCAGATTACAGAAACGGTGAGCACAATAGCGCGAAGTCACGCACGGCCGGAGCCCCAGGCCCTGGGAAAGGACGTGTCCGACGTGCCTGGAGGAGGGGAACGGTGGCGTGGGACAGCCACAGTGCCCCGTACTTGAGGACCGGGAAGCGGATGGAGCTAGCACCCAGCCCGGGTCCTGTTCCTCGCTTGCAGTGGGACTACAGGCAGGCAGCCCTTCTCCGTGCCTCTGTTTCCCTCCCTGTCACCCGCACAGGCCTTCCACCGGCAGCCCTGCCCCTCAGTCCTACCCTACTCCTGGTCCTCCAATCTCACAAGCCTAGCAGGGGCCCCTCCTGCTCAGAGCACTCTGAGGCTTCCATGGGTGCCCTCGGATCAAAACCAGGGGTCCTCCACTTGGGGGGGTCCCCCATTTTTAGGGTCCTGCCCATCTTTACTTCCCATCTCCCCGACAACTCATTCACAAAAAGAAGCCATGCTTTCCCCCATCCCTAGGGCTCTCCCGCTGCTGTCCCTCCACAGCACCAGCTGCACATCTTCCTGGAAGCCCTCCCTGACCGCCCCAGGCTCCCGCAGCTGCAGCACTGCAGAACTGAGCGTGCCGCACCCCAGGCCCTTGAGGTGACCAGAGTCCCCTCGTGCATGTTGTTCTGTCCACACACCAGCCCCGGTCCCAGGACGAGCCCACACACACACTGGCGTGGAGGCGAAAGCCCGAGGCCTGGGCCCGCTCCAGCCCGGGAATTCCAAGGGGCTGCTAGCCCACAACGCCTGCTAGGGTCTCCCTGGCTCCTCCCACAAAACGCCAGGGAGGGGTCCCCCCTGCCCAAGGAGAGCCACAAATCCACGATTCCCCTGCCCCCTGCACTCCCAGGAACAGGACGAGGTGCTCATCAAAGTTTGCTCATCAAACTGTCCTCAAACCAGAGCCTCACACTCACTCTCCTTACAGCCCAGCTGCAATCTGGCAGCCCCACCTCCCAAGAGGCCCAGAACCTGACCGCTGCTCACCTCCAGCACCCTGGAGCTGGGGCCCCCGCTGCCACCGCTGCCACTCCAGGGGTGCCTTTAGGATCTCAATCAGACCCTGCCCCTCCCTAACCCAACCCCCCAGTGGCTCCAAGTCACATCCCCCAGCGCTTCCGCAATCACAGGGTGTCCTGTCCCCTAGGTGCTCACGGTCACTTGTCTCTGCCATGGCCTCTGCCTTGTGGTGCCTTCCTCAAGTAATGCCCTGGCTGGATCCCTCCCTCCCAGCACGTCCTGGGCATCTGCCCCACACTGCACACACAGCTCACACAAGACTTCAGAGTGTGAACTGATCTGTCCTCTGCCTGTGCTCCCCACCAGGATGGAGCTCCATGGTTCTGGAGGACATCATCTTGGTCACTGCGTCATCCCCGGCACTCACAGCAGTGCCCGGTACTCAGGAGGTGCTCACTGAGCACCTGCTGAATGAAGGGAGAAACTGAGGCCACAGCTCCCACCTGGACCATCAGTAGGGTGGTGCCACTGCAGGAAGAGCCCACAGTCCCATGCCCAGAAGAGGGCACACCCACCGGAGAAGGGGTGAGAGAGAGAGAGAGGAAGTCTGTTAGCTAACCTTGCAAAAAAGGACTTTGGTACCATATAATCTTGATCTCTGTGGAAACTCAAAAAGTCTAACAAAGGACCCAGTGGAAAGTCTCAGCACCCCTTGGACCTCTGTCCCCCCGCCCCAGGCAAGCACAGGGAAGCGGAGGTGCTGAGGCTAGTTCTCGGTGTGTCCTTCTGGGTTTGCGAGCACACAAGTGCAAACATGAATTTATATTCTGATTTTATAAAAGCAACAACATGCTTTACACACCAGTCAGTTCCTCGTTCTCTCCTAAATAGATGTTAAAGATCTTTCCATGGGCAGCTTCCTCGGGTCTTTTTTTACAGCTGCGTAATAATCCACAGTAAGGAGGTGTGGCACCTATTTAACCAGTATGCACCACCCTGGACCTCACTATCTTTCAACAAGCCTGTCTCCGCCGCCTGTCAGTTCTCCGGGGAGAGGCACACCCCCAGCACCAGCCCCAGCAGAGGACTGGCTCCAAGGACTGGTTAGCAGGCAGCCTGACATTTCCGCCAACATCTCTGCCGAGGCACAAAGACTCCAGTTTGCAGCCAGCCAGGGCATCTGTAAGGGGAAACTGTATCACCTGACTCCCCTGGCTCAACATTTCAGTAGCTTTCAAACTCCCAGACAGCGGCTCCCACGAGCCCCCGGGACTGTGCCTGGCCTGAGATTGACAAGTGACTTCCTCCTCCGGCTGGAAGGTCCTGAGAGAAGTCCCCAGAGTTCGTGGGTAGGTTCCCAAAATACCC